GCCAGCGCCGGGTCTTGGCCGAGGAGGAGGAGGATGGGGCGGATGTAGAACCAGAGGAGTGCGATGGGGAGGGAGGCGAAGAGGAGGAGGAGGACGGTGCGATGGAGCGCCAGGCCGAGGAGGCGGTGGCGCTGCGCGCCGAAGGCCTGCCCGCATATGGGCTCCATGCCCATGGCGAGCCCCGAGAGGACGGAATAGCCGGTGATGTTGGCGAACCCGATGGCGAGGGCGCCTCCGGCGAGCGGCAGGTCCCCGAGGCGACCAAGAAACAGCATGGAGATCATGGACCGGGAATAGAGGAGCAGGCCGGTGAGGACCATCGGCAAGGCCAAGCTCAGAATGGACTTGGCTTCTATAAGAGCCAACGTTACGGAATTCGGGGGCTTCGGCTGTAGGACCGGCGGCACGGTGGTCAGCGGCTTTTGGACGTCGACGACAAAGGGGAATGTGAGGAAGCCATGAGGATTATGGTGGTGGTCGCATCGGTACGGCGAAGCAGAGCTGGGGTTGTCAGGCACGAACATGGTCGGCTCTTTAACTAGTTTGATGCAACCAAGTTACAAGGAGAGGAACAAAACGGACACTGTTGCGTGCAGGCTGAGAAAAGGAGAAGAAGGGAAGAGGCTAATAGACGATGTTTGTCGTCTCGTCTCTGGAGTAGAGCGACAAGGGAGACGTTGCCGGGCCTGCATACAGCAGCAGGCACAGCGAATAAGCTGTGGGAGAGGGATTTTGGCTCGGAATGCCTCTAATTTTGGTGCAGAAGAGCCAATGGGGAAGTGAGACATGGTGTGAGGGGGTATATATAGCGGGAGACGACTTGTTTCACGTCAATCGATGGCCACTACGGGAGCAACAAGCAACGCCCAAAAACTGGACGGTTCTTCTGCCGCTTTCTTGGTTGCGTCGGCGCACACGCGTACGGGGCTCAAAACGGGATGCGATTCCAGGGGAGAAGAATTCCGGAGAATATGTTTTGACTTTTCTTTGGTGGGTATTCGATCGAGTTTTGAAGCGTGCGTTAAGTTCGCCGTTTTGACCTTTCTTCACACTCTGCACACCACGCGGACGAGAGATGGCAGCCGCTGTCAATGTAGACTTCCCACTCACGACCCATACGTTGCGTAATCCCGTCCTTCAGCCTTTCAACATTTTGACACCGTCAAATTCTACCTCCTCCTCCTCCTCCTTCTCCTCCTCCACTCTTGGTGTGATACCACTTGCGATCGTCAAGTGTGGCACAGACCAAGCATAACACCAGAATTGAGGTACAGGTTTCAGTTGCAGGTAGGTGAAGGAAACATATCGAGCCCATTGCCAGCACATTTTGATTTCTTGCTTTCCAGTTGGCGATCACACGTGAAGCTTCCTCAGTGATGATGGGAATATACTGACTGTGCTATGATGTGGTGGTAACATGGAGGAGGAACATATCGCATGCATCGGCAAAGTCAAAACCAAATCAAGCTGTCTCGATTAATCAGAGCTCACATGCAGGTGGAGGAGAAGGAAGCGCGGAGATTTTGGCTGGTGTTCCGAAGCTTCCTCGTGCATGGAGAGTGCCCCTCTCTCTCTCTCTCTCTTTATATATGCGTCGAAGATTTCCTTGTAGTAAACGGAGAAGCAGGAAACTCTAAGTCCCTGTTTTCTCTCCTCCCCTGTTTTTGCTTGCTTCTCCTCTCGTGCATCTTGTGGCTAAGGGTTGATTGGTGCCATGTGAATTCCACTAAATGTGTATCTCGTGCAATAATATGTGACGGCAACGTCGGATTTGTCGCGGAGACCAGGGTGGATGCAGCACACAGAATGTTTCAGCTTCAGCGGAGGATAAATAGATTCTGTTCCACCACCACCGCCTGAACCCTACCCAGCCGAGTAAAGGCCACTCTCACCAACGCTGACAACGCCATGCGTCACTGTCCACGGAACCACCGTGAACACAAGGATTGGTCGACAACCATGAGCAGGTGGCAGCTCATATCCGGAACTCATATGCTCTTCGACACGCTCGCGCACCGGACTGGGAGTACCCGAACACACATGCTTGGATACGTACACATGGAATATCGCTTTCCAATGGAAGGACCACGCAATGGGTTGTCCCGTGCCTCGACGCCGTGTAACGTGGCCGGCCAAACCTTGCTTGGCATCGTGTGGTGGGAGATGGTTACAGCTTGTTGCAACCTTGAAACCAGCAAGGCGAAACGATGGTTGCTCGGAGCTTGTCGACGGGACGGATAGGGATGGCTACTGGTCTTAGTATCGTCTCTCAGAGTGGCCGCCATAAATCTCCTCTTGTTCGAGCTGGAACATACGATGAGCTGCTTGTTTGCATCTGAATTATAAGGTGGTCACAAGCTGCAGGGACCAGCATTGAGTTGCCATAATAAGGGCTCCAGAAGTCCTTTACCTCCCTGTCGTTTGTGAATCGAGTGAGAGATAGCAGCAGTCTCTCTGGCGCTGCACAGATACCGCAAGGAGAGGTCAGGGCGCAAACAGGGGAGAAGGACAGAACAATCGTCCCATATGTCAGTCCCAAGTATCCATCGATATTCATGTCAGCGATCCAGAACTCGTTCATTCCATATATGTATCTTTTCCGTGAAGATCGTCATTAGCATTCGTTTCTCGATCATAGATCGACAAGCCTTGCTCAGAAGCGAGCTTGGGGCCTGTCAAGGAACTGACGGCAGCATCCACAGTACTGCGGAAGCTTTCTTCGAGCTGACGCTGCTGCACTGATTGGAAAACGACAGGGTAAATGATTTATGCGTGTCCATGAAATCGAGCGGAACGCGTGAAGTATCTTAGACAGGTCATAGCTGTTCCCGTGTCATCATTAAGGTTAGTGGTTGTGGGAGGTTGACTTGCTATTAGTGATCGATAATTTTTTATCGCAGGTAGTTGTGCGAGCTTGAGCAGCTGCTTTAGGAGGATGAGTGCCGAAGAAGGTCAGAAGATCCTCTCCGGGTAACTTTGACTTGTCTGCTTGGTCGGAGAAGACGTTTACGTTGTTGCCACAAGTACACGTCTTTGGCAATCGCAGTCTTGCCATGGTGGGTATTCACGACGGTAGTCCGACTCCATCCTGTTGCTTGGCTGATGCAACGCTGTTGACGATATTGCTTGGCTGATGCACCGCTCGCGACGTCTTTGTCTGCTGCCTGAATGTGGAGCTCGTGATGCACGCTCTTCACCTTTGTGATGGAGGTGGGAGTCGTCGGCTCAGACTTTATGAGTCTCTCTACCGTGTGCCGGAAATACTTCCAAATGAAACGTGACTCGCCATATGAAATTGAATCGTGAGAATATATTTAACCCTATATCGATTGAGAAGTAAATAAATATCTTGGATCGATCCAAAAGGACGAAATCGTATGAACTCATTCCTCGTGGGTCCTGAAAATAATGCTGATAGACCTGCGCACCAAACTGTTACTTTTGACAGGGAGAGACATCGGATCTAGTGGTATTTTTCTCGTAGTATTTGAATCTTACGTGTCAATCTATGGTTCAAATCTTTCTCGCTGCTCCTGCTTTTATTGTACAAGTAGGAGAAATAGATATGACAAAATCTTTCGAGAAATCTGTCTAATTACAATACTTTAGTAGCCCGAGATCCAAGTCCATGTTCCTCAAGTTTTGAGGGCCCATAGTAGCATCAAATATCTATCAATCAGTGGAAAGAACCAGCATCGATTATGCGAAGAGCTACAGTTTCTTGGCCTTTGATTGCCGTGACAAGAACAGCAGGAAATCTGATTCATGAGGAACATCCGAGTTGTTCAAATGAGGCAAAAACTGTGCGGTAAACGGAGCAGAGGAGTCGAAGAGCAATCGAACATGAGGAGTGCAGCCGTTTGTGATGTACAGATACTGCAACACAAATGGCACAAGGGATGTCACTCGTCTGCAGATACTGCAGCCATTATTCATCTGCAGCTCTCGTGTGCATCGACTCAAGAACCAAGAACCTCGTCAATGCCTGAAACAAAGGTAAGATTACGAAGATTAATACTAACCTTTTATGTTAAATCAAAATTCTAGCTATAGAGGTTGCATGAGAAACTTTGATTGACTAAAGAAATGTGCATCTACAACATATAGAAATTTGTAGAATGAGAAGCCGAATTGCAGGTTTATAGGTCAGAATGGGGTTTAGAGTAATCAAGCTCCTTACACCTACTTTGAGTTCTTTTATGAGAACTATGGTGTCCCATACGTTCTCATTTCTGTACACCAAAAGAAGCTTCAACAATGGCACAGCGCGTTCCCTTTTTACAAGATCATATATCCACAATAAGTTGTGCAGGGTTTATTTTCCGAAGAATAAAACAGTATCACCACTTTAAATCCAATCTAAAGTCCTGCTTGGCAGGAAGGTACAGGAAAAAAAACATGATGCCCTTCATACTCCAGATAAAGCAATGCTAATAAGAACAGAACCTATATCGACGAGCGCAAAATAATGATCATCGAAATGGTAAGTACAGACACATACCTTATTAAATCTTAACCATCTAGTTATACAATCTTTATGGTACTGATGCTGGCAATGTAACTTAATAAACTTATCTCTTTTCTTGTAAGCCATGCAACATATCACACATCTGCATGCAGTAACATCATCAGTGTCACTTGAGAAGGGAGTTCAAATCTAAAATTTCCTGCTTTTCACTTCTACTAACTTTCTTCGATATGAAAGTTCACAATTTTTGTTTGATTTGTACTTTTGTTGGCGTTTCATTTATAAAGGTCACTGTTTTCATTATAATGTATTCAAGAACAAAAACTAGAGCAAAACATATCAGGATATGTTACCCAGAGACTCACAAACAGAATAGATCCAGACTCACAAACTGCTACCGATCGATTATAAATATGTTGAAAAGAATAAATGTCTACATTTCCATCATGAACAAGTTCATTACGGTCGATGACTTGTGTCTTGGTTGCTCTTTTGTTTAGGAAGGATATGTCTCTCACATACAAGATAGAAGAAACCAAAGTACTAGTTTGACCAACATCTTAAAACAAACTTGAAATGTCAAATGTTCAGCAAAAGCTTTACATCTTATGATATACTGTGCTGTAAGTCCTAAGGAAAAGTATAATGTTGTACACGATAAATAAACAAATTAGATTAACGCATACTGTTATGTTTGTCTTTTTTGGAAAATAACCCTGCTTTGTATGTTGAAGATTGCAATAAGGAAATTGACTCATCTGGTAATCCTCTGCTTTCAGTACCTAAGGTTTCACCCCATTGTTGCAACTCCTAAAATTGCAGAAAGGACTTTTTCAGTTTTGATTATATAACGAGTCAGCAACAGAAATTAAATACAATTTATGCAAGATTAAAGAGATGTACATAATTTAGTCTCAAGCATAATGCATATATGCTTATATAACTGTATAAGAAATCTTAAATACTATATTGAAATATACAAAATAACAGTTTGTCAGACTTTAAAAAAAAGGCTGATTGAAAAAATGACATTTCCAAAAAAGTTGATCAGATACCCATTTAAACTCCCAAAGACAACTTGTGATATAAATGTTATCAGAAAGAAGCATGTTGACATCAAAATACCTTTAGGACTATTTTATGAGTACAATAGCTGCCAATGATCACTATGAATAGCTAAAGAGTGACATTTGATAAAAGCCGATCGACTGCAAAAGAGAGCCATTATATGCTGATCAATCAGATCAGAAGCATGATCTATATCTTGCAGCTTTCTCTTGTTGGAGCTAGGCTAGTCTCAAAGTAGCAGCAGTATTATTTATACCAGTATAGTATAAAAAATTATATAAGATACCAGGTATAATATAATAAGTTATATTCAATATACCAACTGATTTATCCAAACTATATGCCAGAAACAACCATAACAAAGATCAAGTTTCTTCTCAGTGCAGTTGATATTGAACTGACTAATGGATTAAAAAAAGAAGCGATAGTAAGGGCAAACAGACCTCATAACTCATATTGTCTAGTTCAATATCTTCTTCTCTTCCCACTTGTGCATCATCAGTAGCAAGAATTTAATTTCAAATACACAATCAACATTCTGATAAGGAACACTAGGTATGATCCGAAGTACCTGAGAAGATGTGCTTGCAGAATTGCACTCAGCACTTGCGGTGAAAGATTGTGCAAGAGTGATATCTTGAACAAAAATTATTAAATAACAAATGTTAGCAGTGGAATTACCAAATCTTCAACAAAATACATCAATACATTAATGACACTAAAAATAATCCACAAGGTCTCAGTTATAAGGAGTCAGCTAATGGACCTCTTCCTGTCACTGAACTCTGTTATAAAACTCAATATCCATAAAACTAAAAATTGGATTAGTAATTGCTAATGATGCCAATACTTTTTTTTTAAGATATTGGCCGAAGCAGCTATCAGAGCACCTCTTTTTACCTTAAGAAATAGCCCCTTCAAGATTTTAATAGTTGTGACACCCCAAATAGTTTCACATCATTAACATGGGATTAATATGGTTTCGAGCCTATCGATTTATAATGGGCTTTCTCTTGTGATAATTGATATTGGAACAGATCTAGTACTATATATTATGGGGAGACATGATTAGAGAAAGAAAATTGGATGATGCCTGTGGCACATCATAACGTGAAATCATCACCACTGCACCAGACCTTAAGTGTAACCAGGCATGACTATGAGCTATGCATTGGCTTTGGGTTTTGGTGAGCATGCAAAGCCCTTAACCAAGGAATATAATGATACCCCAACGGCAACATGGTCTCAGATATATTAAATCAATGGATTAGTTTTCTCATTGGATTGGACCATTGAATAGTTCGTTCTTGAGATGCTTAACGGCGAATAACCATAACTTAATTTACATCATAGAAGTAGAAAAATAATTTAACCTAAGGCATCGGCTCTTGGTGTAGCTTTAGTTCTTGCTAAACTGATTTTGAGAGGCTGATTATTTGGCTGAATAGTACAGATAGATTCACACGAAGAAGTGAGACTGATGGATTAACTATTTGACATAAACTTGCTGTAATTATTAAAATAACACATCATATTTGAATATTATCATCCATAATCATCTAAGGTCAATCCCACAAATGAAAGGTGAGAAAATTGAAAAACTAATGTCGTAAGAATACAGGCAAAGAGGTTATGAAATTAATTCCAGTTGAAAAAATAATTTGAAAAGGGTATGATGTTGCTTGGAAAAGATATTTACTACTAGCTTCAATTCTGGTAACTTCACCAAATGAAGTATCAGCAAGCTGATTCTCTGACTCCTGCAGTTCTCTATCTAATGCCTCATCAAGAGCTAGCTGTTGCTCAACTCTAGCCATTCTTGAAGAATTTCCTTCTCCCATGTTTCTATCATGACCATTGTTCAGCCTAGAACTGCCACCATGAACATTTCCTTGGAACGATAGATATATGCTTTCCTGAAAGAAAAGTTTGCCCAAAATACAAGAAATTAAAGCTAAAATTTGTTTCCTTAACAATGAATAAATTCGTGTTTCGTAGCACAAATTATGTAAATATTTCATCGCCAAAGTGGCTGTTTCAGTTCTTCAACACAATCACACATATAAATGTAAAACTTGATTGTGTGTGCGTATATACACAAAATTGTTCACAAGATAAGCCATCGCACCCTATTATAAAAGAAAGAAAACAAATATGTAGAGATTTGAGGAATAATTATTCTGATAGAGTTATCTTCTTGTGGAGTCAATAGTTGTGAAACGATTTTGACTTGCTCTTTAGCTTATGAAAAATCAATCCTTGTTCACACAAGAAGTGGTAACATCAGACAGTTACATGATAGTTGCTAGATTTATGGTTACAGACAATGCGAACAATTCTCTAGAAGGTCAAAATTTTTTGCAATATGAAAGAGTTATGGAAGACACTAAGTAGGAAGATTTATTTCCATTACACAATGTTAGAAACAAGGATTTCTGAGCACTTACCACCAGCGAGGCAAATTATGTAATGCAGGTTGTATGTGCCATTAGTTTGCAATCACATGCCAAACTTTTCTTCATGATTGTAGGCGAGCACATAATCATTATCATGTCAATCTTCATGGAACTGCATGGAGATATTCTCTCCACTTGTGATGGCATGGCCGCCTAAATTGATCCTCCCAAATGCCACATTTTTGGGGCGGTGAGTTCAATTATGATAATATTTAATTGCTCAATTTCTCTATAAAATTGCCATTAGAATCTTTGGAAAGTGTTTTCTGAATTATTGAATATGCATAAATATACCCGATTCAGAACTCCCCTTCTGTTTTCTTCAAACAAGAATTAGTCTGGATGATACTTTCTTTCATACAGTATGGTAAAGAATAAAGACAGTCCTGAACATTTTAGCTGACAGAAAGGCATACCGTAGCCAGTAGCCTTGGCATATCGAAGAAGGAAGAGTTAGTTCGTAATGTTTATAAGCCAATTATCGGTTCAGCAGATAGTCCAATTCTACTAATTTATGGCTAAAAAGAATCTCGTAAATTCCATGTTCTCCCAAATGCATCCGCTTTTGCAGAACATTCCAACTACAACTATATCGCCCGATTATTCTTTTGAGAGAAACAAATGAAAAATGAAGAACACCTACCTGATCCTAAAGCTCCTCAACTAATGCAAGGTCATCGTGATCATGGAAATAACCTCAAAAATTTTCTTCCACCACATAAGGTGCTGGGACATTCTGTACCATGATGGTGATGTACTAGGGGAAAAATTTCCAAATTTTAGTGCAGAGTGTCATTAAAACTTGGTCTGCCTATATCTACAAGGTTGTGCCAAATACATATACCTTGATTTAAAAATTCTGAAGGCTCATCACACAATATCATAGGTAGCACTATTGTGCAACAGTAACTTAAAATTATATAAAGAAGAAGAACAGAGGTTTAAGCATCATTTAAGCAACTTTTAATGTTTAAGTACTCATAACCATCTATACACAATGGAGTTTAATAATTTCAGTAAACAAAACAACTTTGAAAAGAAAAAAACTTAACAGTTTGATACTTCTCAGCAAACCTAACAAAGAACAGAAATATTTAATAAAGTAGCAAATGTTCAATTGCACACGGCAAAAGGCATCACAGTGTTGTTTGACGAGAAACATGGTGCCAATACCATGTCAAAATATTATGTTTTGGCTTTAAGCTTTGAAGAGCACTCGCAATTTAAGTAGGTAGTTGAGATATAAAACTGGTAAATCTAAGAATAATACAAATGTAAATCTCATTTACGTTCCATAATAAGCCTCAGAAGACCAACCAAAAATAAAAATATTTTCACTATATGTTAAAATGTATTCACATGCGCAATGGACGGAAGATAGCATTTTTCTCATCCTGATCTACGGATTTTAAGGAGATACAACTATGATTATCAGGTAAATATAGCTTAACAGAAGAAATTCAGCAAAGCAGCGTTTCACAGCACGGACATGAATATAAAATTGAAGCAAAAATAATCATAAAAAAACCATAACATGACTCTAATGGTACGCCATCTACAACATCTTCTCCGACATCTGGAGGGGGGTGGGGAGGAGTAAATTTCACTCTAACTTTCACGACAAATAGTTCAGCACCAAAAAACACACAAAAGGCCAACATCTACAGTATCTGGAACACCCAAAGATCCTTCCTTTCCTCCGAACGGATTCTGAAATACTGGTCGCAAGAGCAAAATATCCATCCGAAAGTACAAAAGAATCAAAGTTGACAAAGCTTAAAGATAAGACTTGACGGTCAACAAAACGGCTCAAGAAACGATCTTTCTCGCAAATAATGAACAAATAACAAGATACTCAGCTGGATTCAAGGCTAAACACTCGAAAATTACCGAGGAAAACAGACAATTCTGACAGCTGGTGGGATCCCTCTCTAATCTGTGACTTCCGGAGTCCATGGCGTTGAAATTTGAAGGGGGAACAACGAAGATAAGACATGACAACGTCTGTTTTATGCTGCATGAAAAGAATTTCAATTGTTGATGATTTCCTCATGTTTTTGTTCTGCAATATAATTCAAAACTCACCAATAGATTTGGTTGCCTTCCTCCTTTAGCTCACTGCCATGGTTAAGCTAATTTCATGAGATTGCGTTGACTTCTTCAAGCCCCCGGGTGAGTAGAAGTGCATGAACCCCTAACTTGAATCCAAAACTCATCAATAGATTTGGTTGCCTTCCTCCTTTAGCTCATTGCCATGGTTAAGCTAATTTCATGAGATTGCGTTGACTTCTTCAGGCCCCCTCAAGCTGGTGAGTGGAAGTGCATGAACGCCTAACTTAATCCAAAAATACAAAAAAAAAAAACTTATTTGGATAATGGTTTAGTAAAAATATTGCTGATTTACAGTGAAGAGGGATTTTTTTTTTGTTTTATAAGAGCATGAATAGTAACTTTTTTAAAGATAAAATGATAATCAATTTTAATATGGTTGGTCGGTAAATAGAAGATTAGATTATTTAAGTATAAATTTCTTATTCAATTTATGGATGAGACTTTGAATGAGAGATATGGAACTACTCATCAAAATTACTTCATCTACCTAAACAAGAATAAAATAATAATATTATTTCTTTGCAAATAAATAAGGATGTGTTTGCTTTACTAGAATAAAATCCAAGAGTAAATAAAAATTGAGATCTTTATGACATCAAATAATCCAATTTGATACTATGACTAAAGAAAAAATAATCCGAATGATCGCTGCTTTAATCATTTGACTGAATGTTTCTTCGTAAGGATGGAGAACTTGTGTGACTAAGCGTGTCTTATATCGCTCGATTCAACCATCTTCTTTTATATTTGATTCGGAAAACCCATTTTGAACCAACACCATTGGATTGGTTTGTTGAGGAGGAGGCATAAGGTTCCATGTCTTATTGTCGTGAAAAGTAATTAATTCTTTTTCTATTGCTGTTTTGTAATGTGAAAATTTTAGAGTCGTTATTTGATATGACATATTTTGGCATCGTTTACGTAGACCCAAGCAAGCAGACACGACGATTCAGACGTGGAACCTCAAGTACGATGTAGTACGTAACACACACGTGACGAGCAGTCGCTTACCGCCCGCTCCATACGAACGACATCATCATAATATAGTCGTCTCGGAAAACTCGGGGTAGGGCTGCGCGGTGCTGATCTATGCAGGTCGATCGACGCTCATACAGAAGCTAAAGTCGGTCTCTCGAGAAGCCAACTATAATTAATTGACCTCGTACGACCAACTTATCATCGTAAGTATAAAAGCTAACCCTCCTTAATCAGGAGGAGGAGGACTTCGAACACTCAACTCTATCTCATTTCATCAAAAGCTAACTTAAGCTTCGGAGGGATCGAGTCAGGAAATCCCCCTCCCGACTTTGACCTATGTATAGGAGTTCAACGACGAAGAAGCAGGTCACTCGTCAAGAGAGAAGATCAAGCTCGGGGGATGAGGCTCGAACCCGACCCGACCCGATGCTCACCCTCATCACCCGAGCATCCACATGGGTAACCTTGTACATTCGGAACTGAACCGAGCTGTACTGATACCTCGACTGAGTGTAAAAGTTCACCAACATTCTTAAAGCCTTTGGCTCTTGTATAGTATAGTCTTGAATAACCGTGAGTATTTCACTCCGAGAAGGTTTATGACTACATACATAGTCATCCAAGTGACTAGGAGTCCGTTTGGTGCTCATCGATCGAGTCACATTGGTTGATGGTACTCGTTGCACCAATATAGGTGGTGAGTCAACGCTATTGTCTTCTAAATATGAAGTATTTTGGTTATTTTGAGGATAATTATCCCGTGTATCTTCGTCAACTTCTGTAGTAGTGTTTTGTTCATCCTATTGTTGATGAGCATTTTCAATATTTATATGTAAATTGGCAAGAAAAATCATTGAGAGGAGAAAGCCAAACGGCTCGAAAAGTTGCAGTTGCTGTTCGCAGTTGCAGGTCGTCTTCGATCACAAGAACATCCATTGCTTGTCGAGCTACTTTGCGTTTGGGAGAAGGGGTCAATCGACTCCAACTTGTGTTGATCTGATGTGTGATTGAAACATGAAAGATGTTGGTGATTATAGTTTGGATGACAACATGGTGTGACCATTGGGTGCAAGAATGGAATTTATATGATGTATTAATCTCTGTTCCAACTGATGACATACATCACACTTTCTGTGATGCTTTCTCAGTAGAAGTTACAGTTCATGCAAAGCCACACTCCTTCATCAGCTTCCCTGTACATACATGGTGGCATTGGGAGGAGGATGGGGAAAACGGTGAGCTTGATTGATGTCCATGGCGAGGGCCAAGTCCTTCCTGTCGCTTCCTTTAAAGCAGCCACCGGCAGGAGCTTGGTTGGTGCTGTTGCTCGTGGCGGTGGCTGAGAAGTCTCAAGTAGCTTGGTCGTCTCCGTCTCAGCAGACCTGCTCTGCGAATCTTGGCCAGCTCGCCGCATGCGCTCGCTTCGTTGTTCCTGGCCAAGTCACAGGGCCTCCCGGCGAACAATGCTGCGCCTCTCTCGGACGCGTCGACCATGGCTGCCTCTGCGACACCCTCAGTATCATCGCTCGCCTGTCTGCTCGCTGCAACCTCCCTTGGATCACCTGCAGTATGCTTTCAGCTCACAGATGCTGATCCTTCTCATCTTTTTGTTCCTCCGGCTTGTATCCTTGATTTCTGGATGCGTACAGATCCCTGAATGCTGCCTTTGTCGAGTGGAATCTTGGCTGGTTTTCTGTGTTCTCCTTTGATCTTTCAGCAGTGTGAGGATAGTAGCAGAAGTAGGCATCAATAAAAAAGACAGCTTGCTTTTATGGATACTATGGAAGCTGTTAATTGGTTGATTGATACAACTAAAACACAGTGATGCTTCACTTCATTAATAAAGATGCTAATTTTTATGCACATAATTACTGTAGAATAAATGTATGAAAACAAATAAAATACAGATTTTGAATTTTTTTTATATTTTTTTAATAATGAAAAAAATAGAGAGAAAAATGTAATATCAATTGAAGTATTTAATGTAAAAGATCGTACCAATTGAAGAAGAAATTTGAAGGCCCAAAGCTAATTGATAGGCCTTAAGCCCGGCCCAAATTTAAGCCCATGAGTTGCAGGAAGTACGGTCGGCTCCCTCTAATCGCCATGAGTCCCAACCCTTCCGATTTGGCGCCGCCCGTCCGCCGCTCAGGCTCGTAGCCTCTCTCTCTCTTGATCCCTCTCTCGGCTTCTTCGCGTATGTTGAGGTATCTGGGTTGCAGGCTTCCGGTGCATTCATCATGTTCGGGTCCAGGGTTTCGGGCAGAGTGCTTTGCGCCGCTGCCAGGTCGGAGTCTTCTGCAGCTTCTTCTGCTGCTGCCGCCTCTTCCGCTGCTTCAACTTCGGTTAGGAAGGCACAGAATCCGCTTGAGGAGTTCTTTGAGGTGGACAGAAGCACGGATGAAGAAAAACCCGTCATTTATGGTGCCATCCTGATTCCTTCTTTTATCTTTAGAATCACTCTCTGCTATTGCCTTGTCTTATTTTGCTTTAAGATCTCCCTTCTATTTCTCGTAGTAATGATACATTTGGTCGTACCAAAGTCTTCATTTTGCTTTTGTTTCTGTAAATGGTTGCTTTAACTGTTCGCGTAGCACAGATATTTGTGATCTGATTCGGTGTATTGAATCCCAAATATTCTCAGAATTTTTGCTACAATCATTCGACAGATTTAACCTTCTTGATTGTCTTGCAGTGTCACATCCACAACATCACGAAGACAGAAAATAACTCTCATGGCACAGTAATTTAGTTGGCAACAAATGACTCTCCAATTGGACTTTGTTTTCACTGTTCTGCATCGAACTGACATTGATGCGTTAGTTTCAATGTTCAGGCATTGCTAGACTTTGCACTGAACACCTGGAATTACTATGTCATTAGTTTGTGGGCCAAAATGTCAATTCCTTAGTTTTCTAATTTTGTCATAACTATCTTTGTTCTCCAGAATCTGTTGTTATAGCCTGAATTTTAGTTTCATCAGCCACTCGAATAACCCTAAGAAACTAATGGAATTGCTTTTGTAACACCTTCCATAGTCTCTAGTCTTCAACACAGTTTCAATGTCTTCTTTTGCTTCTTTTTTGTTTTTAAAGTACTTCTATCTTTTTTTCTAGTCTCTAGTTTCGGACAAAGAACATGTTATACTCCTCATAATCCTAAAAATATTTCTTTACCTTATTTTGTTCAGAACATTAGCTTTTTAGTCATTACATTGGCAATTTTTTTTCTTAGATTCTAAAAATCACTCTACATGTTTCTTCTTCTTCTTCCCCTTTCAGTTCTTTTATGGTTTTGGTTGCGCTACTTTCATCTTAGAGGTTACCATGTGCCAGGCACAATTTTCTATCTGACTGATCCATGTATTGCGGGTATATGGTTCTTTCGTGTTGGAGATGTTGGATCTAGTATTATTAAAGAACAACCATACACTGTGTGATTGCCGGTTTACAAGAATTATATAGCATATTATCGGTAACAATTATGTAGCATAACATATAATACATGTTATCATCTTAATTTTTTTGACCTTTATACAGGTCGCAGTTGGAAGGCTTCTGAATTGCGTCTTAAATCTTGGGATGATCTTCAGAAGCTGTGGTATGTCCTTTTAAAGGAAAAGAACATGTTGATGACTCAACGCCAAATGCTTCATGCTCAAAACCTTCGGTTTCCTAACCAAGAACGTATTCCAAAGGTATATGTTACCTTTACCTAACTATCATTTCAGGATTTGTATCTTTATTATTATTTTTTGTTTATCTTCAATTGTTGAACTACTAGTGATCTGACTTTTGTAAATATCAAAACAGACAAGACACTATGTAGTGCATTTAGGTGGATAATCCATTGAATCCTGAACCTGCTTTTATCTAGATTAGCTACAGCATGACATATTTTGGTTTTACAACTCAACGAGCTGATGTTTCTTTTGAGTTGGCTCCGAAATGGTTGCAACTATGATGGTGTTGTCGTCCATAGATTGACCTTATTTTGTTTCGTCTGCCATGTTCTTGTTTCCTGATAAAAAATGGTGACAATAAAATTGCCAGCATGTCTCTTTGTTCTCATGTTGATTACACTCATGGCCTCTACCATCAAAACTACAGCATCTTGTGGAATGTGGAATAACTATACTGGCCATAAGAACATGCAGCTTATCTATACACTTTGGCACCTTTTTTTTTTTTTTTTTCTTTCTGTTTTTAAATAATATAAATATATTTCTGCTACTGTTCGATAGAGACTTTCTTCGATGCTTTTACAATTAAAGGACAAGATTCTAGAGCTACCTGACTGCAGGATTTAGCTCTCTTTCTGATGATAAGCATGAATGTTAATTGTAGGCAAGGAAGTCGATGTGTCGAATAAAGCATGTGTTAACCGAGAGAGCCATTGCAGAACCTGATCCAAGGAGGTCTGCAGAAATGAAGAGGATGATAAATGCCTTGTGATGTTCTTATCTATTCCTTTCAATGTGTTAAGCTTTTCAATAAGAACATATTGGGGATTAAGCTCCTTTTTTTCCTAGAAACATGCCGTCGGTGTACGATTTCTGCTTAGATCCTTGATTCGCCTAAAACTTGAGGTTGAACTTGGCATGCACAGATGTTGTAATTTATTTTTCTTGTCGACATGCCTTTAATAGGATGACATTCCTTTTCCCTTAAAATGAATCCATGTTTAGATTTTGATAATGTTATTAATAACTATAAATTTTTATTTATAAATTTATCTTTTAGATCAATAGCAATTAATTTGACATATAAGTCAGTCCTTCCCCACAGTACCAAACACCTCTTCATACTTAAATGTGCTTTTAGGTGAAGAGTAGAGACCAAAGTAAGCAGCAAGTTAGGTTTTAATTGACATGCATTATATGTGTTGGTTAATGTCTGAGTTGAGAACAGAGGTCAGTAAAGGAATGTCTTGGCTCCAACCATGTCTACTTAGCTTTGTGTAATATATGCGAACTTGTCAGGCCAATATTTTCCTTTAACAATGCAAGGCATGTTAGGTGAGAAATGGATTGGGTTTCAGGCAGGCTGAAGTGGTAGTGGGGAAGAAGGTGACACAAGATGGAGAGTGAGGTCAATTTCTGTTGAAACAAGCTCTCCCTACTTGGAATAAATATTTGCTTGATAAGCTTTGCACTCTTCAAGAATGTTATATATGCTATATATGTAATGTTAATTAACCTTTTGAATCGTAGGCGACACTTCCATTCTTCACTGTCTCACACATGCATGCACCATGCAAAAAGGTTTCAGTAGCGCTTGGAAAAGCAGTCTCCTTTGCTGATGCATGCATGTGCTGATTCCTAATCCTGTGACAGGGACCATTGAGGAAGCCATTAGAGCAGCTCGAGAGAGAGAGAGAGAGAGAGGTGCATGCTCGTATCATCCTCACCAATGATATGCCGGTCATGGAGCTTGGAAAGACGTCTAAATCTGCTTCACTCGAGGCCATCACAGTGTCGATCGATCTCCAACGCCTTTCAAATTCGAAGGTAGTAAACAAAGCTTCCTCTGCACACGTTAATGTCTTCCCCACTTTCCTCCACACCCTTCAATCTGCGTTCAAAGTCGCCAGCAAATACCTTTGGAAGATTCCAATGCAGTACCAGGAATTAATGTACAGTCAAACAAACGGGTCTTTTTGCTCCTCAGATGTAAAAGGAATTGGATGAAACACCTAAAGCTATTCCCCATCGCTATCCATCTATGCTCCCCTCCACAATGGCGATCGAAGGCGGAGCCTTCATCCGCCACCTTGGATCTCTTCTCTTCATGCGCGCACAAAGTGGGGCTCGACCAGCTTGTCTTCCATTATGGCGTCGCACGCGTCCACTCTCCTTCGAATCCACGATCCGGTCGCGCTTCTCCACACGTGTGACGCTCCTGATTCGTCCTTCCTTTGCTTCACGTGTACACATTCCCTTGCGCGATGGTTGACTCGCACTGTATGCGCGTCCAGGCAGCAATGGACAAAATGGCTAGTTTAATGTGTCACCGAAGAATCACCCACCACCATTTCTCTCTTTTGAGCACCAGCAGCCACGTCCCAGTCCTCGTGTTAGGTCTTCTTCCTCCTCTCCTCCCTGTTGTTCTTTGGTGTCTTGGATCATCTGTGGAGCTTTGCATGGATACTACCCAGTGGCCTCAGGTAAAGATTGCCCAAACTTTGATGAAACTTATTTTGGATCCATGTACCTACCGATCGTAAATTTCTCCGGTGGATCGGTGTGGATCTGCTGTGCTTTTTTAGGGTCGAGGCTCGAGATTGATGCACAGCTTCTTTTTCTTACGTTGATTCCCTTGAAGAGATCTCTTCTTTCATTCTCTCACATCCTTTCCTTGGTCCTTAAGCTTTTAATTCTGTCACCTCGCCCCTTTTACTCTTGAAAGCAGCAAACCGCTTTGCTTTTCTGCCTTTTTTCTTCTTCTTTTATCTCTGTTTTCTTGCTTTTCTTTTATCGTATGCAGTAAAGCAGTGATATGTTCTTGTCCAGAATGTGTGATTTCTCTTCCTTCTTTTCCTCCCTCCAACCATTTCCCTTCCGATCTGATATATGTGAGTGTTTAAGTACGTTTTCTCCTACTCCCTCTCTGATTTAGTTTGTACAAATGGGGATTTGGTGGTGTTGGTGCTCTACAGGGCGTAGGGATGATGATGATGATGCCCATGGTGGATTTTGCTCCCTCCGCCACAACCGCCACTGCTGCAAGCAACACATGCACGGGAACCAGAGCACAGCTGACGGAGAGTACGAGGCCAAGGTCGCACAAGGAGCAGGCTCTCAACTGCCCCCGGTGCAACTCCACCAACACCAAGTTCTGCTACTACAACAACTACAGCCTCACCCAGCCCAGGTACTTCTGCAAGACCTGTAGGAGGTATTGGACCGAGGGTGGATCCCTAAGGAATGTCCCTGTGGGTGGTGGCTCGAGAAAGAACAAGCGGTCCTCCCACTCCTCCGCCACCGCCTCGACCACCACCACCACAAAGTCCACCTCCTCCATCGCATCAGCATTAACAACCGCCTCAACTTCCAAGAAGTTCCCCTCTGACCTCATCCCTCCATCGATCTCACTCTCCGCCAGCTCTGAAGCTCCCAAGTATTACGAGAGACAGGATCTCAGTCTGGCCTTCCGACAGCATGGCCTTCCTGAGTACAATGACTACCCCAACCTGGAAACCAGCAGTGCCAACAGCAGCAGCGGTGCTCTGTCTGCCATGGATCTACTGAGGGGTGGGATGACTACAAGAGGCTTCGGGTCTTTCATGCCGATGCCGGAATACCCTACTGGATTCGGATTGCAGGAATTCAGGCCACCTACTCTTAATTTCGATTTGGATGGAACTGCCGGAGAGAGCAGGAGCTTGCCCGGAATGCAGGTAAGTACCAGCGGTAAGCTGCTGTTTCCCTTTGGGGACGTGAAGCCGGCTGTCCCTTCAAACATGTTCGCAGAGCAGTTTGAGAAGAATAAGGGGCAAGCTAGCGACCCTCCTGCGTTTTGGAATGGTATCATTGGAGGAGGAAGAGGAGGAGGCTCATGGTAGAACAAAAGGATAGAGAGAGAAAAGCTTTCTTAGTGTCTAACAAGAGACTGTGTTTTGATTCATGATGGTGGATCCGACCACGCTGTTTGCAGTAGTTAAAGCCTAAGTAGAAAACGGATGATACATATTTATGTTCACTTGTCTTCCAACTCTTAGCTTCTCTTATCCTCATCATTGTGGAGTACATCTGAAGCTTCATTTCATGTTGGCTTCAACTTAAAGTAGATTTCTGTTGTGTGGTCATAGGAAGGCCCTTTTTCCTTCCCCCTTTTTCTTTTTGCAGGACAAGCATGGCCATAAAGAAGGGCAAGGAAAGAAGAATGGTAAGTCAATTTTATATGAACTGTGGACTACTGCAAAGATCCTATGGACCAAAAGAGAAGTGGCAAACGGAAAAGATCACTCATATGTGCATAAGCATGGAGCCATTGCCCGACTCATAGTAATCTGTGGACTAGTGCAAAGATCGTATGGATCAAAAGAGAAGTTATGAGAACAAGAGAGTAGTACTAGACGCAATATCTATGTAATGTTCGATGAGTTTCACTTCTTTTTGTTTGCTCTTCCATCTGCCATTTCTATTTTGCTTTCTCGTCTATCAGGCCTCAGCGGTCATGTCTCACCACCCCAACTCAAGATTCTCCCAGCCTTGAAAGCACAGACAACCAGCATACTCTTTTTGCCTTTGATTCGCATGGTAGTATTATATATTGCATTAGGCTCTTCGTTGGATTCCTATTAATATCAGAAGAGGTGCTTTTCCTCCTGAGATCGAGCATGAGATCATGGTGAAAGGATGCCTACGTTGGAACAAAAGCTGGGAACCAGTTCATCTGCCATTCTCACCTAATGATTCCTAAACCCACCAACACATTCCCGCTGTCCCATGTATGATTACACCCTCAACGTGCTTCCTACTCGAACAAAGGGAGAACGCACCTTTTCCCCAGGCATTCATCTCGCTTCTCGAGGTTGGGTCCCCATGAACATTCCCCTAGGGTTGGGAGCTGAGGAATTACATCCTTCGACTATGATACTGTGCCTTCTTTTCCCTGCTACACGTATAATATAGATAATTAACGAGCTTGAGATCAACTTAAGAACGTGAAAACCAGTGTTTGAGGTTGAACTGGTGCGTGTACAGCCCAGTCACTGTACTCTTATATCATATCACATGCCATGCATTGTCCTAATGGTACGTAAACAAGAAACTTGATGCTTTTGAGTATGATTTAAGATGCCGACGTACGTTTACTTTTAATTAGGAGCTTGGAGATTGCAAAACCTGTAGATGCTACATGTTTGAAGAAATCTGGAGGGCAGAAGTATTTGTTTTTCTTTCTCATAGGCTTCATCAACGCACATCATCATCCTTAACCTTTGAGTAATATATTCATCATCTTTCACTGTGGATGTGGAAATTCTATGTTGTGGTTTTGCTTCTAACTAATGTTGGACAGCTAAAAATTTATCAGATCGGCTTCTTTCGTTATCATTGGACAGCTAAAGGAGTTATTGAGATGTTGTTACAATGGCCGCTAGAAATCCATTTTCTAATCTCATCCTTCACCTGCAGCACTTCAGTACTGATCCGAATTGCCTACTTCTATATGGAAAGAATCATGTCATGCATACACAAAAGAATACTTCATCGTCTCCTCTCAGCGTTGCATATCCAATCTGTCATCACGCACTGAAGCACATCGAGCAGGTGCAAGGTCTCCGTGTGTTGGGCATGTTCTTCGTCCATCGGAGGGACTCTTCACGAGGTAGAGTGCACTAAATGCGATGTTTTCATTGGGGAAGCAACGCATGGGCGTCCCATCAGCACTTGTTGGCCACAAGAAGGACGAGAAGAAGACAGAAGTTGACCAGCGATGTATGAGAGGGGGAGCATCCAGGAAGAGGAAGAAACAAATAGGAACCGACAATTTTGGGTTTGTGTTGACCGGATATATGCGTTTGACCTCATCGTATCTAAGCAAAGAAAGAAAAATTAATAATTATTCTTCATAAATTTCTTCGACAGTGAGAATATTTTTGGACAACTTTTCTAACCCTTCGGCGACACTTCCAATTATTATCCACGAATCATTATTCAATCTTGGC